AAAGACTAAATAGATGATGATTCATCAGCTGACAGAGAGTCTATTTCCGGTAAGTGGATCGAGCATTAGCATCGATTCCTTGCAGAATGCTAAAATTCGATGGTCCAACTGTGTCAATGAAACCTTTTACAGACAGCCCGGGAACGGGAACCTCTTTTCCTAGCAACTCATGGTCTATGAAGATCACAACAACTGTAATATCATCATGAAAAAACCGCCTAACCCCCTTCTCCACTTTCTTCAGATCGTCGTACCTCATCTCCCTCTTCCTAGCTGCTACATTTAAAGCTGTCTTAACAAGTCTTCTGGCAATTCCCTGGGAATGCAGTTAAGACCAGAAGAAAGAAACCAATCAATGCCTGAAATTATTAACAGGTGAAGAAATGATGTAAACGGAAATGAACATACAGGTCGTGGATTATTATACACGATCTCGACAGCCTCCTGATTTGTCAAATGTTCCCAGAGCCCATCTGATGCAAATATAACAAATTTGTCACTGGGTCGTAGTACCCTTGTACATACAGATGGTTCTGCTGTTAGCACAGGCCGGCGGATGGGGTCAGAGAGATGGAATCGAGGAAACGAAGGATCAAGAGAAAACTCCGGTCGCTTCAAGTATGCGTCACCAATGGATCTAGATACCTAATATGAGTTCATAGATATTAAGAAAACTATTCTTTTATCTTTATATCAAAGAAACACGAGAAAGAAAAAGAAGCTAACCTGAATTATGCCTTTTATACGCCAAACTCCATGTTTCAAAACTACAATATGTGAATCATCAGGATGCAAGGACCTGAGTTCTTGTCTGACCTCCTCCATGCTTGCATTATGATCCTTGGTCAACTGCTCACCGACTATCTTATTTGATCTACCTACAGATCCTATCACAGCTCGAGAGTCACCCACGTTAGCAACATATAAGGTTCCTCTCCATATAACTCCAACCAAACAACAAGACCCAATTGCTGCAATTAATGGTTTTAACCCACATGTCCTACGGACGAGAGTAAGAAATCCATCCTCAGTTGCAGAAAAAGCACCTCTAATAATATCTTCGGAAATGTTTCCATTTTCTCGAGCAAGTCCTGTCAAATGAGACATAAGATGCATTCTAAGACGCATAATTCAAATTCATAAGTGAATCAATGACTCCCTATTAACACCGTCCAGTTTACACAAAATACAGTTGATATTTGCCACAGGAAGAAAAATCTTTACTACCAACAAGAGGCATCTCAACTCTGCTTTTTGTAATTAGCAACTGTTACTTAGCAAACCATAAAAAGAGAAACCTCAGCCAACAGAAGCCTTAAAGATTTTCGATTCAGTAAAAATCTTAGACAAGGGATCAAACCCAAATGACCAAATTCCAAAATCAACTGTTGATTACAATCTGTAATCAATGAAAATTCACTCCACATACCAAACTGAAAATTTACATTGAAATGAAGTTTTTATTATAGGAAAAGAAAAAAGTCGAAAACCTTCAAACCCAATTTACGCTATAGGTCAAGGGAAAAGACAAACAGATTCATTAATTTACATAATTGGCTGAAGTCAGTAACAATCACAGTTATATGAGGACAAAGATAGAGCTTAGAGAACAGCCAAAACAACCAATAAATACAACTCAGAACCAACAAATCAAAATCCCCAAGAATTAATTTGTAGCTTTCAAATTTGCCCAGAAGAAAACACAAGCTCAATTGATCCAATCCAATATAACACTATTGCTCCAACATTCAAAAGCTCCAGAGAAGTACCTTATACAACCACTTAACAAATTCAAGAAAATTACATTGTCAATTTCATAAAATTCCACCCTTTTAATACCAATGTAAAATTCAAAAGTTTTGCAGTATACATATATATACATATATATATGTACATATATAGACAAAATGAATACTAAATACGGAAACCCTTTAGCCATGGCTATCCTATATAACCCACTGCAAAAGATTTACAAAAAGCACTCGTCAATTACCTCAAAAATCATCCATATATCACAGGATTCAATTAAATTACCACCACAAAATACAAACACAAGATAACATATTGCTTTAAATGGAAACAAAAACCAAGTAAAGGGAAACAAAAAATAGGACTCACTCATTAAGTGAAGGAACAGATGATCAGAGACGTAGCGGGAGGCCTCCGGGCCGCCGTGTCCGTCATAAACGCCGACGAAAGTGGCGCCATTCCCTGTATCGACTTGGCTGTGATCCTCGATAACCTCGTTAGCTTGGACGACGGCGAAGGAAAAATCGCCGAAGGAGTGCTTGTCGAGTTCTCTGCACCAGAGAAGAGAATCCCCGATAGATGAATCGTCAAGGTCATCATCCTTGCTCATGCGGGCATATCGCCTTACCGGTTTCCAGCAAGCAAGCGCTATCCTTGTCAGCCACGACAACATCCCTCATTTCCCTCCCCAGCAATACTCCCCTTAAATTTTGTTCTTTAAGCGAGAAAAAAAAAATAAAATAAAATGAGAAAATAGAGAAAAATAAACAAAAGGGACAATCTAGAAAAACCCTAATTACTGGATCAAATCACTCTAGCAGGTTAAATTTAACCAGAATCGTAAAACAAGGTTAATGAGTATTTAGATTTATACTAAGAGAAACCCGATGAGGAAGACATTGATTTAGCAAAATGAGAACTGGGTTTCCTTCCAGAAACCATAAAGAAATTAAAAGGCAGTTTGATTTCAAAGTAAAACCCAGTTGATAGAGCAATAAATCATGGTTTCAGAGGGTGAAAACTGTAAGGAAAATCAAACAATTAAAAAAAAAAAAGTTAGTGCTGGATCAAAAAGGAGAAATAGAGGGAGAGTGAGTCTACACTCGGATTAAGAGATGAATGTGGAAAAAACAAAAATATTAATCCTGATTTGGAAAAACTAGAAATTACCAAGATTCCAAGAAAATGTTGAATCAAAGAGTAAAAATGTGTTAATGAGAGAGAGAGAGAGAGAGAGAGAGAGAGAGAGAGAGAGAGAGGGAGAGGGAGCAGGTTGAAGTTGAAGAAGCACTGAAAAGATCTGAGTTTTTGGAGACTTTTATGTGGACAAATTGTGGAGAGGAGAGAGAAAGATGGAAGGGAAAAAGTTGACATAAGCGCGTGAACATTACAGACTGTTTTTTACTAAATTTTTTTATATTTTTACGATCTGTTGGAATTACTTTAATACCCCTCCGAGTGTCAGATATTTACAAGATTGCCATTATTGTTTGGATTACGACGTCGCTGAATCTTAGGGGGTTACCCCAGCTGGGTTTCTTCTCTGAAATCTTCTTCTTTGGTATATTTATTTATTTATTTTACAAAAAAAAAAGAGAGTCAGAAATTCTAATTTACAAAATAATAATAATAATAATGTCTGCCCAAAATTATTATTCTTTATAGATTATTTTGACTAATAATATTTGAAATTTTGAGCCAATAAATTTTTATGTATGTATACATCGAAAAAAAAAATTATTATTCTATTATCTTAAATAGTAATAACTATAATTAATATTTATAAAATAAATATAAATTACTAATTTTTTTATATAATTTTATAATCAAATATTTAAAAAAATATAAATTCTTGTTGTACATATTTTAAAATGCCCAAAATTTTGAAATGCTTCCTTAACTTTTTTAAAAGAATTAAATATCGACCGGGTCGAATTTTTTCATACCGAATTCAAAATATTTCATTGATTACTTGCGAAAAATCAACTTAAATTATTAAACAATAAAATACCCTTTGATACGATGTACGAATTTGTATTTTATTACTCAATAATTTCTTAAAAGTTGATTCGTATTTAAAATTTGTCCGAATCACTCAAATTTTTTACCCGTTCACGTTTAAGTTTTCATCAAAGAATTACATATAATAATATAAAGTGATTCGACAAAAATATTAAGAAAAAAAAGAGAAGAAAATAATGTGAGTGTTGAAAAATTGAATGACCTTAAAACTTAAGCAAAGTAAATATTAGTTATATGGTAGAGGCATGTTCTTTTCCAAATCCAAAAGAAACACTCAGAAACCATGTGATCTTTGACATGTGAAAGCTGGCTTTTTCTTGGGTTTTCAGTTTACCTAAATCTAAATCCCCATGAGATTCATCACCAGCAATACGGTTGCATTAAAGATTACATGTCTTGACCCAAAGCAATCAATCAATCAATCAATCAACCCACAAAAGATTCAATCAGACGGCTGTGATTCGTTTGTGGGGTCAATCTCAATCTCAATCTCATCCCAAAAAGGCTGGAGAAATTGGGTGTGTGTGTGTGTGTGTGTGTATGCCCCTTTTGGCTTTTTTCAAAAGGGATGTGTACTAGAATCAATATAATATTTGCTTGTTTCAATCATATGAGTTTTGGGATAATTAGAAATTTCATTTGCTTGCATTTTAAAAATTTTGACCCACTATGTATATCTAACATTAAACCTAATTGATCATATCATATTATGTATTTTCTTGTTTCAATCATATGAGTTTTGGGTAATTAGAAATTTCATTTGCTTGCTTTTTATAAATTTTGACCCACTATGTATATATCTAGCATTACATTATACATTTGCTTGATCCCATATTCAACTTAGAATATGTCAATAACCCAACTTAATATATGTAATTAGAAATTTTGACCCACTATGTATATCTAACATTAAAACCTAATTGATCATCATATTATGTATTTGCTTGTTTCAATCGTTTGAGTTTTGGGTAATTAGAAATTTCATTTGCTTGGTTTTTAGAAAATTTGACCCACTACGTATATATCTAACATTACATTATACATTTGCTCGATCCCATATTCAACTTAGAATATGTCAATAACCCAATGAGATTAAAGGATTGTTTTACTCTACTTTTGACTTTAATTTTTTGTATTTCAATTACAATTTCACATCTAAATGTATAAATTTGTAATTAGAATTTTAAAAATCAATTTCACCAAATGTATAATTTCACCTTTTGCAGAGAATTCATGTACTCACAGTAAGTTAGAAAAATTTAATGAATTGAAATGGAAATTACCTTCATTTGTTCATTGTAGACAGTAAAAAAATGTGAATAGAAAGCAGGTAAAGAAAAAAAAAATGACTCTCTGAAGTACAAATCTTGAATTTTGAACCTTTCTCCTCTCCCTTGGGAGTTGGTACGCAACTGAAGCTTCTGTAATTCTGATCACGAGGATATTATATATATATATATATATATATATATATAGCTGAGATTAAGCAGCATCATTAATCAAACGCCTGTGCCTATTATAGTGCTTCTCCATAAAAACTCTAGAAGCTCCTTCTACAGTTTTTCGCCATGTCTGCAAGTGAAAGAATTCGATAACAGAGATAAAATCGAGATACTAAATCCATATACTTTTTGGAGAATATGTGCATAGGCGTATGTTTTTGTGTATGAATATATGTACGTACGTATGTATTCACCTTTTCAATGGTTCCAATGAAAGATTTGTTCCTGAGATCTCTAGCTTTAATCATTGACCTTCCAATCCCAAGTTGCCTAACCAATGCACACCTCCTGGTTGCCGGGGGAAGAAGCCATTTTATCTCCACCAAGCTTCCACTACCATTATCAGATCCTCTCAACTTTCCGGCGACTCTCCTCCGCCTTTTCGCCAACCTTAACTCCTTCCTGGCCGCAGCTTCATCGGCGGGATCTGATTCCAGTTCGGCAAATTTCCTAAGCAACTCGTCCGATGACTTTTTGGTGACGTGTTGAACTTTGGTATTTTCATTAGTAACCTCCATTGCAGAACAGAGAGAGAGAGAGAGAGAGAGAGAGAGAGAGAGAGAGAAGAGGAAGAAGAAGGTGAATAGGAATTAGGGATAGGAATAGGTTAGGGGGGAGATTTGATTTTGTTGGTTAGCAAGTGAGCTATTATGTGGGAAAATGGACCGTTAGGAATAATTTGAATAATGTGAAGGAAAAATATAGCCGTTGGAGGATTAATAATGGAAGCCAACAATACGGAGGAAGAAGAAGAAGAGGACAATGATTGGGAACATTGGCATGTGATTTAGGGTAGACAATAACGTATCATTCCCAGACAATTATTAACTGAGGTAAATTTTACACTGATATGTTGTTTTGAATTTTCATGAGACTAAGTTTAAAAATTAAAAAAAAATATATATTTAATTCAGTAAAATCTATAATTTAATTTACGAATATTTAAAAACTGATAAATTAACTGCAAAATTCAAGAAAAATTACATATTCAAATACATATAAATAAATATATGTATCAACACCCTTGTTTATATATGTATTTGGATAAATATTCTAAGGCAGCTCCTTGCTGCATCCAACCCGAAATCTCTAAAGAGATTCGGAGGTTGGACCAACATACAACGATCCAAAATCTTTAAGGTTTGTTAGCTAAAACTCTTATTAGTCTAAGTAATCTCTGCCATCAAGTTCAGTTTTCTGGTTGTACGTTGTCATCTTTCGTAGTTTCATTTTGACGAGACTTCCAAGAAATCTCGAGAGAATTTGATGTTTCTCAAACCTGAAAGTTCAAAATTTCACCATATGAATTCATAAGGTTCGCTCAGGTAGTTCCTGAAATATTCGCAGAAATGGGGATGAAGTTATGCACAAGCAGAGAAACGTGCCAACTCTATACAACATTACGCCTTTTGCAGAACCTTCTACAATATCGACATTGGCATCTCCCAAGTGAAAATTCCAATGTTTGAATGAATTTCAAGACTGCAAGACACAGGATGTACTGAAAACTGGCGATGGGTTGTTTCTTTTTTTAATACATGAAAAACTAATGGAAGGTTATGATAAAAAAATTCAGCTGTAAATAATTAAACTCTTTATCCAATAGAAGAGAAGAATGAATTCAATTGAGTTACAATAGGCTAGCTCAATTAAGAAATGAAAACCATATAACAGCCAGTAAAAATTTACTTTTGATCAGTTCAAATGTTTTTCTTCCAATCCACGAGGTAGTCCCTTGGAAGCAGTTATCAAGTAAATGGTAAAGGTTCATGTGCGCTAAAACTGTACCTTGTTGCTAGTGCTGTGAGCTTATTTGAGTCCCGAAACTGATTGTATGGCATTCAAGATTTTTCATGTTAAGCTGCAGCATAAAAGGGAAGTAAACATGAGAATTAAAGACGAATATTATCTGAGAAAAAGAATTAACTTCACGTATTTCTTGCAGAATTAATATCAAAATAGTGCGAATTTATCAAAGCATGAATTTTTTAAAATCCACTTGCATTTTGCTTATTATTGTATCTTCTGGAGATGCAAGGAAACATGCAATTTTTTGTTAACCAATTTACACCAGAAATAAAGCTGTGAACCTCTCAATATTTAACTGTGCTGCAGATTTGACCAACCCAAAATTGGAACATGCACAAGCATACAACCATACACAAGCTGACTAGGCATGGACAAATTTGCATGATATGTAATGTTCCAATTACTAATAATTGTAGATCGGTTTCATTTTCAGCATCCTGAAACTAACAGAAAAGCTTACCACAACAGCAACTGCCGTCTCACAGAACTTAGGAATGCAGATTAGTCTAACCAATTGTCCTTCTGACCCTGCACGCCAATGTGTCAGAAGGTACACGTAACACTTTTTTCCCCATAACTGGCTTTAAAAAATCAACATTGGAAGTCATTAAATAACCAGAGAACATACCTTTTAACAAGCGAGTGTCATATTTATTCTGATTACCAATGAAATAAACATGAGGACAGCTTTCAATTAAGAAAGGATCCCTATCAGTGAAAGGATAACACCCTGGACAAAAGTAACGCGAGAAATTCAAATTCAAGCACATAGGGGAGAAAAGGACTAAATCACACTTGAATTATCACTCTCTATTGACTTTCAATAAATCACGCTGCTAACTTCTTTATCATATGTATTCTTGGTCTGGGAAGATCCCACACGCTTCATTACCATAAATTCACAAGAAAATGATTGGAAAAAATTACCAAATAAATTGATAACAGATTGAATATCAAGAATGATGTATGACTTTTACCAAGTGTATTAGGTGCTGTTGGTGCGAGATGCCTCCATTGCAGTGTTCTTTCCATAAATTCAATCTTATCTTTTGCCTCTGAGTACTTCTCAAGATCCTCAATGTTCTGTCCAGATGTTCCAAGAAATCTGGAAACTCACAGGCTAAGTTGTCAGTCTATATCCACTTCTTATAAATACTACCAGTAAAACAATATGTATATATTACCTGACATTGTCTAGCTCAAAACAATGAGGGTTGGTACAAGATCTAAAGGTGTTATAAGTTGCCGAACCAGGAAAAAGACATCTATGCAAAGGCTGAAGGGAAAAGAATGATCCGATCAAATGAAATACACAAAACCAAAATGTAGATATATTTCAAATATACAATATAAAACCTGCTGAGGTAATGAGAAATTTGCTGGGTCGTTTGGCCCTGGCATGATATCTAAGGACAGGCCTGCAGCAATCTAAATATGAGTATTAGTAATTACTAAGCAATTCCATCATGACGAAGGGACAAAAAAAAGCTAACTTAAAATTATTAAGGGAAAATTACAGTGTACTCACTTGTGATCTGAGGTTTTTCAGATTGTGGTTTTCAGATTAAATTTCTGTGGTTCCTTTTGAGGTAATTTCAGCAAGTGTAGTTTGAACCAATGTAACACAGTTATATTGGAAACTCAGGCTTAGATTTAAGAACTTTATAATTGTTAACAGCTAAAAAGAAATAATAATGTTCAAAATATTTCTAAAAATTAAAACAAAAAAAATTATTAAAAATTTTAAAAATCAAAATCTTCCAATTTAGCACTCGTTCATCTCTTCTGCACTACATTGTAGATGCAGCAAAATCTCCATGGATAGGACTGACCGACACCGCCCTTTTGCGGGCTTTCTTTAACGAAAAGAATAATCTTTTTTTTTTGGTAATTCCAGGTTGACGAGGGCATTGACAAGGCTATCTGAGTATGAAAAGATGCTGGAGAGGTCACCTTGATTCTTGAAGAAGAGAAGCAGAATAAAAATAAGGATTAGTAAATTATCAAGCCACAGCTTGAGCAGCAAAATCATGGCGGAACAACAAGTGGGGATCGGGTGGCAAAGGAAAAGGTGGGCAGTGTGGTGGGGATTGCAGTGGCCAGAGAGTTTGGTTGCCGACAAAACAGCCTTTTCAAACTTCCTTCTTTTAAATTTGAACTTTTAGCATTTTTAAAAGACTTTACTTATTTTTATTTTTAGTGTTATTTTTTAAGATAATCTAAAAATTAGAATTATTTATTTATTTATTGAAATTTTGCTATTAAAAAAAATCTCAAAGAAAATCATAGATACAGAATATAAAAATTTCAAGCTACAAAATTATTAGAATATGATTTGTCCCATTATTAGTGAAAAGAACCTGAGTTAATAAGATATCCAGCTCTTTGATGGGCTCAGACAGCCTTGACTGGTCCCTTGAAGACAAATTCTGCTAAAACGACCATCAAAGGATAAAATGGGGATCATCTATAAGAACTAATATATGGTATCAATTAATGATTAAGAAAAATAAATCCAGAAAAAGAAATTTTGAGCAAACCACTTCAAAGCAGGTAATAACATATTACAGAAAGCAATTTCCTTGTAATTCACAAATACAATTCCTTCTATACTCCCCTTGGAAGCACTGAGTACAGAAAAGATGCAACAGGAGAATGGGTAAAACCCAACCCATTCCCCCTAGATATGATACATACATATCCACAGAAAAGAAGACAGAAGGCGAAAAGACAGGAACAGTGATAGAATAACTAACATTCATAGTTAACAAGTAAACAAAAATGGCGTTAATACTTTTTGTCATATTTATGACACAGATACCTAAAGATAAATACTGCAAGTTTTCTGAAATCTCACATTATGTGTCTAATAAAATCTCCTTGACAGCGAAATCTAACAACCAGAAGAGTATTTAATGAAGTTATCAGGTGACATATCAACATGAGGTAAGTCACACCTAAGTTAGAAGATGCTTCTTAATTCTTATATAAGGATAATTTTCGGAGACTTTACCGGAGAATTCTGACATTCACTTCCCCACACAAAGCTCAAAGCAACATGAAAATTTCTCTTTTTCAATAACCATGGAAAAGATTTTAGTAGAAAGCACCTAACATCAAGTGGAAGATATTATTAAGTAATGTTACCTGTCCATTAAAAAGTCCACGCGGCATGTCAACAGAATTTCCAGCAATTACAACATGAACTATCTGTGCTGCAATACCTTGTTCCTGTTGAGTTAGTAGCATGGAATGAGCAAGATTAAAAGTTTAACAGAAAGAATTGTGCCAACAGTAGGTTGAAGACAATGAATCTGCCCAACCTCCTCATCTCCCAGATGTCCCGTTAGATGATCAACAAGGAGCTGAAACTGGAGAGGGTTAGAACTGCTCCCAACGCTGATCCCCGATACGAAAATAACGTACTTATCCTCCCCTGTGCGTAGTGAAACTTAACACCTCAAGAAAATCTTGCAGACATGAATTGATTGAGACTGTTTGACTTAAAAGCAAGTGAAATGACACTTCCACATGGAATACACCAAATGGGCAAAGAGAAATATATTATCTCATTCTCATACTTGATTTCAGTGGGAGCTCTATCTGGGGTGGCAGACCAGCTTCTAAGACATCTTGAACAAAGAATTCGCCGGCACTTGTTTCCTTTCCATGCAGAGCAACAATAACACCTATCAAATGCATTACATTGATGCAAAATAAATAAGAATGCTCTGAAATTATTTGAAAAATATTATATCCAAAGAGTTAAATTTCCAGAGAAATAGCCATGAAAGTAAAACTGCCTAATTAAACTACCACAATCAGGGAATATAAAAGATCAGTAAACAAATTGAAACAGTAAGAAAATAGAGAAAGAGGAAAATGTATAAACCAAGACAAGAGAATACATCTAGGATGATTAACTACAAAGTCTTACCATACTTCATTCATTCATAATATTTCGTTGACATTTACCCAGTAGATGAATTATGAATTAAATGACAGCATTTTCAACAAATGAAATTTTCATAACTGCAAAAGTTTTCCATAAGATGTGCGTGTGTTTGTGGACCAATATAAAAGAAATTCTCCATAAAATGAACCATCTGAATTTTAAGCACAATAACTAGAAATCCAATGCATTGATAGTTCATTTGGTATAATTCTCCGGTTGTTTTACCAAAGGCCTGTATTTGATGCTTGCTTCAACAAAGAGCAGAAACAGTAGCCCCACTCCACCCTCTCTACATGCTGCAACCACATGAACCAAAAGGAGACCTGCCTACTCGACAGTAAAATGTTCATCGTACAAACCTGTTACATATACTGACCGTGAAAGCAGAGTTCCAGCAAGCTTAACTCTTCCACTTTCATCTTCCAAAACCAAGTGATCATCTTTGTGCATAAAATTATGAGGCTTAACAAGTGGGCTGGCAGATCTCTGCAAATTGCAAAAGAATCTTTGAAGCCAAAAATTTGTGGCATTATTCATATCTCAGCTTGGCATAAATAACTTTTGAAATGAGAATTTTGTGCAGCATGATTCATATCTCAGTTTTGCTAATTTATAAGAAAAAACATAATGAGACTTATCTATTAACAGCTGTACCTGTGTAGAGTACTCGGCAAGAATAGAAGGTTTGAGTTTCATGTGTTTGTAAAGGGTTCCAACAATGATGCATTCTTTCCCTTCATCAAGTCCCAACACCGTACAAACTGCAATCCAGCAAATAACTTCTCCGTCAGTCCATTAAAACTTTTTAAATTTTGCAACTCAAAATCCTATATATCTCATAAATATTGTGGCCATATAAGTTGCTACAGGAAATATTAACTTTTACTTCAACCAATATACAGATTTGTCGGAAAAATTGACATGTTCTGGTACATAATATGCAGATTTCACATTTCATAAACCATGCAGGTGCAGCAACAATCAACTACATCAATTCTCTGAAAAAAATCAATCATGAAAACAAGTGCCAAATGGTATAAGACAGACTCTGCTTCTCATAATCCAATGCGAAATTCGTCAAACAGTATAAGACATCTCTGCTTCCCGAACAGCTTAAACACTTACCTCAAACTCAAAAACCCTAGATTCTAGAATCAGGAATTCCCTCTAAATAAATGCAAGAACCAAGAACCTAACCAATAACAATAATGGCTGAATATCATATCATTGTCGATAGTAACATAAAATTAGTATCCATATAGCACGAGATTACCAAATCCGTCAAACCCCAAAGACCTCAAAGTCACTATAATCCTTCATGCATGAAAGCAACAATTGAAACACCTACAAAATCTCCCAACGGGCGTGCGTATCGATAAATATATAAACACCGAAAGAAGCTTTCACAAAGCAGCCAAGTTATATGCTCAGGTTACCATGAACATTCAAATTGGAGAGCAAGAAAGACCAAAACTCAGTAAAGCTAACCAAAATCTGAAAATGTAAAATTTATTTCGAGAAGTGGAAACAGATAGTAGAGAGAGAGAGAGAGGGAGAGAGAGGGTAAAGAAAAAATACCAGGGAAATGAGGTTTCCAGTTGGGAACAAGAGAATAAAGCAAAGTTCTCATCAGATGCAGACGAGCAAAGTAAATTTGACTGTACTGTTGACCCCTATACATCTCATTTTGAACCTTGAAAACTTCATCCTGCTTGAAAATAATGACCCAGTAAGCCAAAAATAAAGGAGAACAAGTAAAAAGAGCTTCGATTATTTGAGAACCGTGCTGAAATTATAAAATATGGCAACAGAAAATTCTTGAGTTCAAACGCTGAATGAGAACAAAAAGAAAAAAAAAGATATAATTAAAGAAAAATAGGAGATTAACCAGAGATTGGTAAGTGGATTGCTTCCTTTGAATAGTTTTCTCCGAGTCGATTTCCATGGCTTCCATGGCGGGAAAATAGAACTGGTTTAGAGGGATCTTCCATCATAAAGAAGCTCGTAAGGAGTTATGGACGACAGTCAGTGGTACCGGGTTCGATACCTTCCGCCTCCATTTCGTTTTTTGGCTTTTATTTTTACTCTCTAAATAAAAAAGATCCGGACTTCCATTATGGGTTTCGGGTCTTCGGCCGAATGGATCTTCTCGTCCGAAAATAAATTATTTATTTAATTTATATTTAGATAATTTATTTTTAAAAAATATAAATTTAATTTCTAAAATAAAAACTTTATGCCATACAAAATTTATATAAGAAAAGATAATTCCAATTTGATATGATTTAAATTTAATACTGGCAACTTTGTTCGTATTTATTTTATATATATTAATATTTGTAATTTATTACGGATAATTATAATCTTTAATTTTTTTATATTTATATGTAATATCGATATGGACAGTTATAGTTACTAACTAATATGTTTATAAAAAGTTATAAGATATAAAATTCACTTAAATATAAAAAATAATAAAAAATTATTATTAAAGTCGATTCACTATATATATATATATATAAATTGAATGTACGTATTAAAATTATTCTTAATTTGGACTATAATATATAAATCTCATATTTTTTTTAAAAAAAATAATATTTATAATAATTATTTTGTACAATAAATTAATTATATTTTATTTAAATATATTATGATTCAACGTGTACTTAATGATCATTATCTAATTTTTTACATTAATTATTGTGATATTATTTATATAACTAATTAGATATTAGTTATATTTTTATTTTTATATTTTTCTTTATTATTTATAAAAAAGTGAGCACAAGAGTTTATTATTGGTGAATGTATATTAGATATATATATGTATTATAAAAATTCTTATTTAATAATATATAAATTATAACTGTCTATTATGTAGAAAAATAATTTAAGAAATATAAAAATTAAGTTTTCTATTTTTTTATTTATTGCTATTTAATTTTTTTACGTTGTATCTAATAAATTTACTTAATTTATAGTTTTTATATTATTTTAAATTTAATAATAAAATATAAATTAATACGGATCATAGAACATTAAAAATAAATATATATTTTTATTAATTATTATTTAAAAATAGTTATTTATTTTTATAAAAATAAAACGTATAAGTACTTATTTTTAAATAAAAATAATTATTTTATGTACAACGAAACATCATTTGTTCATGGAAATTTTTTTTTTTTAAAAAAAAAGTTGTAAATTTATAGAGTAGAATTAAAATATTAATTAGTATTTTAAAAACTATATATTTAAATTTACAGTTTAAATTAATTAGTTTGTGAAAAATGAGAAAATAATTTGAAAAATTGATTGCACGTTCTTTTTTTGGGCCGTGCTGGACAAAGAAACGCGGCGTTTTATTGGTGTGTTTTTTTGCGGAGAAATAGAAGCCAAGGAAAGAAAATGCAAGAGACCAGCGAAATCTTCTTTTTCCCGCATTAAGAAAAAAAAAAAAAAAAAACACAAGTATAATTAACAAGCGCCTGCCTGCTCGATTATAGTCGAGTAGCAGCAGCATCTTCATCTCCCCTTTCTTCTCGCCCTCATTAATGGCTTCACTGCAAGGCTCCTTTCCTGCGGTTTCTGCAGTTCGTTTGAGTTTCTCATCATCAGCATCATCATCATCATCCTCTTCTTATTTTTCTCAAGGGAGAGTTTCTCTCCCGAGGCTGCCGGAGATTGGCTGGAGGATATGCGGAGACCAGAAAATCACATGGAGGTCGGGGTGCGGAGCAATGGTTCAGCAAGCCGTACAAGGAACTCCGGCGGCTTACGCCAAGGAGATGGAGAGGCTCTCTGCTAAAGAATCACTTCTTCTCGCTGTGCGTCCAACAAAATTCTCATTCTAAAATCGATGGTCTTGAGTATTTATTCTGTGTTTCCGCGATGATTTTTATTAAACTTCTCTCAGTTGATACAGCATGCTTTCTTATTCTAAATTACATAACTGTTGCTAGATTTTTGGTCTAATTGGTTTACGAGGAAATGAGGGAACCTAGAATGAAAAGTATGACCAAGGATAGTTCCGTATGAGTCTCTTATTCCTCTCAGCTCACTGGTTTCGATAGCTTTTATGGGTATGAAATTAAGAGTCATTATAGTCATGTTTGATAACTATTCATAAAATTACCCCAGGGAATTTATTGAACTTTGAAATTTGGATTTGACTTTTCTTCATTTTGTGTAAAAATGATTTGATTAGTATTCATTTGCGTGAACTTTCGCTGTTCGGAAATTTCAAGCCCAAATCTGTGTATATTATGTGGAACTACTATTTCAGTTTAAGGATTCCGGGGGATTTGAGGCTTTGGTCACTGGAAAGACAACAGATATGCAGCGTATTGATGTCAATGAGAGGATAATAGGTCTTGAGCGGCTTAATTCAACGCCGAGACCAACCACGTAGGTGATTTATGTTCTTTCAAATTTTATTTTATTTAATGATTTTTAAAACGCTCCCATTGTTATATATTGTATTAGGCCTTTAATTGGTTTCTATAGCTTTCCAGGTCTCCCTATCTGGAAGGCCGATGGAGTTTTGAGTGGTTTGGACCTGGGAGCCCTGGATTATTTGCTGCTAGATTTATATTTGAGTGAGTGATGTTTATCGGATCTAATGTGATTTTTTTTTTGTTTAGAATGCAATGCTTAATATCCAGAATTTTATATTTTATTTAATTCTATAAAAAAAAGAAGAATCTAACACGATTCAATCTTGTGATGAGTCTTCTACTGTTTGGTTGATTTGACTGGCAACTAATATTGTGGCTTTGGACTTTCTTATTGTTTCAGGAGGTTTCCCTTAGCATTGGCAAATTTGTCAAAAATCGACATGGTGATTAGGGATGGGTATGCAAATGTTTGTGCAGACATCAAATTACTGTCCTCGGTAATTCTTTTCCCAAAGTTCGCTTCCTGTGGATTTCCATAAAAATGCATTTTGCATTTGAAGAAGCACTATTAAGATATGGAATTTGGACATAATTTTCAATTATGTGATAAACTTTTCAACTGATTTTTTATGCTACTCAGTCGTCAAGTTACAGCAGTATTACCAAGTTTTAGGTTTTGTATTAACCATGGCCTTCGGCCTAGATGTTCCTCTCCTTCTAAGTATTAGGTCTTGAACCAACCAAGCTTCAGTTTACTCTAACAGAAAGGGTAAGAAAGTGATTAGGTTCTGAATCAAATGAGTGTAGTCTACATTTATGTTTTATTGGGCTATCTAACCAAAAAATTAATGTCTCTAGTTCTTGGTTGCTGTTGAACTAGTCTTTATTTGGGATCATAACAAGTTTTTATTATGAATATATGGATGGTACTGAACTGACATTCTGTTTTGCATTGCGGCACTCTGGAGATTAATAGATAGTGAATTTCTGGGAAATATACAAGGATACTATAAAACTTGTGCAAACTTGGTGTTACTTGGAGGATATATTGGCTCGTGGGAGTTGGGCGATGAACAGCTCAGGCCATGATTCTTTGTTATACTTTATTAGATTTATAAATTGAAAAGGAGATTTTGGCGATTCTGAAGCAACATCTGTTCTTGAACACTTACATGACCCAGTTGAAGTTGCTTCTTTGAGAAATCTACTTCAGTGTACAAAATAACACGTACTAAACAATCATTTTAATGATGCTTTCCATAGAGTTGTTACGTACTCTTCAATTGATCTACTGTAAGATATGACTTCGGTGTGGTTATAGGATTTGTGTCTGACCCTTGAGGTTCATCATGTTGGATTTTTGGTGATCCATTCTAGAGGTTATGAGATGTAATAATGGAAACTTGACTGGCGATACTCTTAAACCCGAAACTGAAATAAAACACGAAGATGGAACTATTGGTTTCTTAATGTCTAAATCTTGAACCTTTCTATTCAATTGGTGCTTAATCAGTTGCCATTATGTTTTGCAGAGCCTAATCAGTTATGTTTTACTAATTAATATGAAACCTTTTCTTTTTTATTTTCAGTAGAAATATGAAACTGTTATCTTTTATATATTGGCTTTAAATTCCCTGTAGGTTTGTATTATCTTTGTTATCTTTAATGTCAAATGAATTTAAATACCAATGTCGAATTTTTATTGATTGTGTGTATTTTTTACTATAAATGTTTCCTAGTTAAAGACTGGTATCCATGTCCATGCTAAACACCCCTGCTTAAGCCCAAGCCGCATTGGAGTTAGACATGATATTTTGTATCACATATTGTATACTTCTTCTGCAATGCAGATTGTAAGAAATAATTCTAAGGATGTAGGTTGTTACTGTTCATATATGACAAATTACCTTGTGGCACATTTTAGTGATTTTGATTATTTTTTTTTTTCGTCCTGAAATGCAGATTGAAAACAAATTTACCCTAGCCACCAAGTTATCCATTGAGGGGCCACTAAGAATGAAAGAAGAGTACATTGAAGCAGTTCTTGAATCGCCAAAAGTTATTGAAGAAACAGTACCAGAACAGTTGAGAGGTGCATATGGTCAGGCAGTTACAGCACTGCAGCAGCTTCCAGTTGCTATTAGGGATGTGATGGCCAGTGGACTAAGGGTTCCCCTCGGTAAGAATTCCAATTTTTCACCATTATCAGAGATTTCTTCAAATTATCTCCTTTGAATAAAAATAAGTTCTTTTGTCAATCCTTATTCATTCACTAAGTATCTGGAGAACATGTTAGTCTGAAAAAGTGAAGGCTTCTTATTTCCTAGACAACCTGTTTCAGAATTTTCAGTGATTTATATGTCCCCTTTTTGGGGCAAATCATTTAGCTTTACTTGCTGCTTTACACTTTTAACAGTCATCAGAACTTGTTTTGAGGTGTCCGGAAATATTAGGAATTCTACTTTCTCCATAATAGATTTCTCTATTTTCTTTCTTTTATTTAAGTTAATTGAGAAAGGTAATTTTGTTAAATGTTTAAAGTCTCCTTTTCTTGTTCAGCGCTAGGGATGGTGAGGATTGCAAGTTATGCTTCAGAATAAATCCTCCAAGCGCATTATACTTTGGAAATATTAAAGTTTGAAAGTTAACCTAGTTTTTTCTTATCTTTCATATATAAGATATGAGGTATTTTGTCCAGGGATGTTCTTTTTTCCTCACTATTATTTTCTTGTCATTTATTATTATATTCTGGTTATCTTCTTAGGAATTGCCTGCCTTTAAATTTGCATGGTGCCCTAAGCATTTTAAAAATTTTAAACCTCCTTGTTAATGCCATGAGCTTGTGGAGATGAATATGGATGCATATCGATTTCTCTGTTCTCATTGCACTAGGGTTTCTTGGAAATATACATTTTCTGTTTGGTTGTGGTTGTGCTTATGCTGTCATATCCTGCTTGGATGTAAATTTCAAAAAAAAATATCCTGCTTGGATGTACACAACGAGTTATGGACATATTTTGAGGTATATTTGATTGTATAGAGAATGCACTTCCTTCTTATTACAGAAAATATCTATCATCACCACCTTCTGAGTTGGTGATCTACTATCAATTATATGACCATGTCTAATTTTTACTTTTATTATCATGCTGCTATTTGACAATGCCTGCTACTGCAATTGCCTATTTTCAGTGAATAATGGCCAAAAGAATAGAAACGTTTTTAAACAATTTCATGGATACAATGCTTAATTTGAATGCTTTCTGCATCCTTAAACGGTTTACACTTCAGAATTTACACAGAATCCTGCTCTTTGCATTCAGGTGGGAGTTTCCAGAGATTGTTCATGATTTCTTATCTCGATGATGAGATACTTGTAAGCTCATGACTGGAACTTTTGCCTTTCTTAATTCCAATTTAGTGTTCCCCTTATATATTTGATGGCTTCCAAGTTGTTTCAGTGGTTTCTATGTTGCACTAGATTGTGGCACATAGATAATGAATTCATGATTCCTTGATGCACTTGAATCTTTATTCGCTGTGGGTTAAGCCTAATACATGTCATTTCTCCTAATATTTACCATAATTATTCTTCATTCTAAATGTATTTTCATCGTCATAGCGAACCGGTATGATTTCGAACAAAATATACATGATATATGGAGTCTGTTTCACGTGTTGTCACAATGTTAAATATTAATTCTTCTTTTCTTTTGGGAGAACTTAGTACTTCCTCTGAAACCTTGAATTTGAAAAGTCTTATATAGACCATAATGCATTACAAATTGTTCTCCTTCTGACAAAACTGGAAATTTGAATGCTATGATGCAGATAATTAGAGATACTGCTGGAATGCCCGAAGTTCTAACAAGGTTGGATACACCATTATCTCCCGCTGCGGGGACTTTGACAGAGTATGAAAGCTAGAGATTCTTTTACATGTGGGAAGGCTTATTCTGCCCTCAAACTCTCCTGAAATTTAAAACAAAATGAAAGAATTAATGGTTTCATTTCATTTATCTATCCATCTATTGTTCTCATACATGTTGAGATGCATTCTTTTTATTTTTACTTCATTTAGTTGATAGTTTTACTGGCGTAAATGAGTTAACCAAAGAAAAGCATGGAATTTGGTGCTTGTTGGTAAAACACAGACGAAGGATACTCTATTGCTGGTAGGCCGTATTATCATTGAAGTAACACCTACTTTTTGAAGTTATTATCTCCAGTGCGTTCGCAAGCAACGTATCTTTATTTTTGTTGGTTGGACTTGGAAACCGTATACATTGCCTAGGTTCGTTATGTTACATGAATGCTCAATTTTCCTTTCTTGTGCTGATCCAAGCCTCGTTGCATAAAGGCCAGGTTCCTTGTGGTGACTTTTTCTTCAATTTTATCTTACTTCATGACCTCGTGTACAATTTTCCGACGAAAATGTAAATAGTTCTAACGAAAATTTAAAGGTGATTAGATATCCTCTCAGTCTATGAGAAATAATTTCTCTTGTGCACCTGAATATATTCTCTACGTGCAAAATGATCCTTTAGTTCTATTTCTTTTTTCTCTAGGTTCTGTTAACATCTGGGTGTCTCTGCATTTGTAGCTCCCTTCGGACTTTGCAGAAGCAGGTAGGTAAGACGATTGCTGTCTATCTTTAATCTAAAAGAAAAAGAATAGTCAAAGCATTCACTCTGCAAGTATTGTATATGTAAATACTTGACTAATTAGAGTTTTCTTTTCCATTTCCGCAATTTTCCCTTATAATATTATCTAAATTGATGACATCTCATACTACTTGTATCATCAGTCGGTGATTTTGGATTTGATGGCAGACAAAACCTACCCACTTCAAAAAAATTCACAGACTTTAAAAATAAAGTCTTGCTTATATAGCATTTAACCTATGAATGAACTTTCACAAGCTTAGGAGCAACACTGACATTCGATTGAGAAAGGCTATTTGTGATATATTCTTTTAGTATATGACCATATTGGGAAAAGATCATTTGTTACGAAAATGTTTATCCGAAATTTTACAGTGTCTTATATATCTGTTGTATCGTCTTACTAATCTTCATAAAATTATCAGTAAGGATTTAATATAATATTGTTTAGAATTCTATTCAATATTTATCATCATGCAGGTTTGGACTCCACATGACCTTCAGATAATAGGTATTACTTACCATATTTTGTGTTATTTCAAAAAAAAAAAATTAAATTTAGAATATATGATGTTGCTGTCTCACTCACTTCCCTTTTTGAGGTATGCCTTTGGACTTGTTCAAGTTCTTCTTCCACATCTTCAATGGATGATCCTTGCGAAGATCATGAGATTCATTACACAAAATTATGAATTGATTTTTTTTTTTTTTTTTTTGCAATTTCTCAAAAAAGAAGAAAATTGAATGGGTTTGCCCATTTGCTAAAAGAATTAATTAAAAAAAAAACAAAACAAAATGCCAAGGATAGAATTAGTTGTGTAATAATTGAAGAGTAGATGCAATTTGCAAAATGTAATCTCATCCATCATCGTCATTTAACTTTAAATTTGTGAATAGGTAGTTTAGTCGAGTCTTCCCTACCGACCAAATATTAATATCTGCAATTTGAGAATAAAGTTTACCAAAAACGTTGACTCCGGGGTACAAACCCAGGGTCAAATATTGAATCCTAATGCTTGGCCCTTGTATACATGTATTGCTTTGCTATGTAGTTCATCAAATGCTCTTGATCCTAATTCATACCCCACTAATTTTGATGGGTACCGTACCAATTTTTTCTAATTAATTAATCTGACATTTGAATGTGTGTGTGGGTGTGTGTATATATATATATATATATACCATACGCATATACACAGGCCTATTCTTTTGAATTATATACACACATTATATGTAATATTAAAAGAGTAATCTAATGTAAACAAGACAAAGGTGAATGTGAAATTTGGGAGACTTTTGGATACACACATGTCTACCTGTCAATACATAATCCAATAGGGATATATATACATATCATAAAAGTAATTTCCTCGAAACATATATTTATATATAAAGAATATTGAGAGAAAAGTAATAAGGTAAATTAAACCAAAAAATAAATGACACAGTTTTGCATGGTCATACTTGTCTAGGTTCCTAAATAGTATCACCACAGAGGGGTATATATATATATATATATATTACAATATATTTAATATTATATATATAAGAGATCCAGAGAGATACCCCCACAGATAAGACTAAGAAGACTGCTAACATCCAAAAAGAGAGAAGCAAAATACTTCTTTAATTAATAAATAACATATTAGAATAATAGGTTTCGGTTGTAGTAATTACATAAGAATGGAGGAAATATACGTATATGCGTGTGTGTGTGTGTGTGTATAGAATT